CCCGGTTCCCGCTGACTGGCTGGGCGAGATGCGGGCGCAGCGCCAAGGGTTGCGATCCCGTTGCCGGTCCCGGTCCGGTGCAGGCGTGACACTGAGGGTTGCGATCCGTTGCCGGACATGAAAAAAGACAAAAAGGGGCCGGCCCGGTGGCGCACTGCTACAGTGCGCCGCTTGGGAAGCGCGGCGGCGCTCCCACCGAGGGTTCGGATCCCACATATGGACCGGTTCCCGCTCACTGGCTGAGCGAGGGGCGGGCGCAGCGCCAAGGGTTGCAATCCCGTTGCCGGTCCCGGTCCGGTACGGGCGCGACACTGAGGGTTGCAGTCCGTTGCCGGACACGAAAAAAGACAAAAAAAAAAAAAGATTGTCTTTTTATCACGGAGGTTTAAGAATTCTTTATATATTCTGGATACAAATCCCTTATCAGATATGTGATTAGCAAATATTTTCTCTCTGGTTGGCTTTTAAGTTTCTTGATAATATCCTACCAAGAAACATTTTTCATCCTCATGAAATCTAACTTATCTATTTTTCTTTGGTCACTTATGTTTTTTGTATTATATCTAAGAACTATTGCCAATTCCGAGATCATGAAGATTCACCTGTATGTTTTCTTTTAAGAGTTTTATGGTTTTAGTGCTCACATTTGACCCAGTCTGAGTTGATTTTTGCATGTGGTGTGAAGTAGGGGGTTTAGGTTCATGCTTTTGCGTGTGGATATCCAATGATCCCGGCACCATTTGTTGAAAAGTCTGTTCTTTACCCATTGGATGGTCCTTATGTCTTTGCAGAAAATCAGTTGCCCACAGCATAAGGGTTTTTTTTTTTTTTTTTTCCTTTTTATCTTTTTTACTGACCGGTAACGGGATCGCAACCCTCGGTGTCGCGCCCGTACCGGGGACCGGCAATGGGATTGCAACCCTCGGTGTTGCGCCTGCACCGCGCTCAGCCAGTGAGCGGAACCGGTCTCCACATAGGATCTGAAACCTCGGCAGGAGCGCCACCGCGCTCCCAAGCAGTGTACTCTCCAGTGCGCCACCGGGCCGGCCCCAGCGTAAGGGTTTATTTCAGGTGGCCCCTGGCTCTGGCTGTGGGACTCTCAGGGTCTTTCTCTGGTGCAAGGGTCTGGCCTCTGCCAGCATTCTGCCCCAGGGTGTGTTCAGGCTCCAGGTGACTGAGTGCTTGTTACTTGTTTACTGGCTTTTTCAATCACAGCAGAGATGTAGCCAGGGTTGTGGGAGGAGCCTGAGTGGCGCAGAGGAGAGTCCGCTCAAGGAGTCCCTTCCAGAGCCTGTTGGTCCCAATACTTCTGCTCACTCCCTGCCCAGCCCTGTCAGGGGGGGAGGGAGCCCATTTGTGGCCATTCCGGCCCAGGGCCCAGGACCGGGGAAATGCTCACCCAGTGTCACGGAGGCCCAGACTGTTTCCATGGGGCCACCTGACCAGCCTGAGAACAGGCCCAGCCGGCCACCCTGCTCAGGCTGGAGGGCAGAGCCTGTAAGTGACCAAGTGGGAAACGCAGTGCAGGGTGTTTGCGTTTGTGGCGTGGCGGCCGCGGTCCCGTCTTGGGTCCCCTGGGATCACCAGGCGCTCTGGTTGCAGGGGCTGTGTACGTCTGCACAGAAGACGTCTTCCCAAGCAAGCGACTGCAGCAGCTCATCGCTCAGCAGCAGCGGCTGCGTGCAGATGTCCCAGGGAAGGTGCTCGGGAAGATCAGATTTGGCGACCAGATCTTCATTGAGCACGTGGCTGATGTGGTGAGTGCCTGCAGCTTCTCCAGCCTTGCGTGAATGGGGTGTTAGAAAATATTCAGTGACACCTGTTAAAGCACGGTCAGGAAGACTTTATTCAGGACCATCTGAGAGGTACAGGGACCACGGTGATGGGACCGCAGTGGGAGAGAAACTGGGCTCAACTCAGAGCACAGCATGGGCCAGTGGGGATCTATAGCCAAGGGTGGGGTCAGTGGAGGGAAATTACACCAGGGAGGGGGTTTCTGGCTAAACTGACCTAACAAGTTTTTTGCTGAAGATGGGCCAAGTGACCAGACATCACCTCAGGGTGGCAGAGGAGGAACCTGACTGGATATGCGGGGAGGGACCTCTTGCTGCCTAGAGCAAGAGGCTCTTGGATTTCTTGAAACCTAGATTTCATAAGGTCGTGCACAGATGGGCCTAGAAAGCTCAGGAGCCTGGCCGCAGGTGGTCAACCAGAGTCTTGGTCAGAAGTCGCTGTGGGCCAGCAGGCAGGGCTGCCGGTTGAGCATACACGCATGCGCACACCCCCAGGACACATGTCAAATCTGAATTTCAGTTAGCAGTCATGCTCTAGTATAACTGCCCCACATTCACACCAACAACACAGCTGGTCATCTGAGACTCAGGTTCAGCAGGGTGCCTTTGTATGTCACCTGTCGACGCTGCCTGGGAGGAAATAGCCCCCATGGGGGCTGAGGGCCCGGTCCCACCACCTCCTGCCTGTAGCCTGCTGCCATGGCAGAAGGAGCCTGTGCTGTTTCACTCCTGCCTCTGATGGAAGGTCTGCCCTTATTGGGGGCCCTGGGGCTCCCACACTCATGAGGCGCTGCCCCACCTGGCACCACCTCAGGTCCCCGACCACTGCCTGGCTGCTGGCTTTCCTGCACACAAGTCACGGTGGGAGCCACGATGCTGGCTGGGCATGGAGCAGAGGCCCCATGGCAGGGACGGGGATGAGGGCCTGTGTCCTTGGGTCCATGGATGGCCCCCTTCCTGAGGACAAGGGCCTGTGGGGGCCCATCCACGGACCCAAGTCTCTCCTGCTGCCAGGGAAGCAGCGCCATGACCTGGCCAGCTTTTCCATTTAGAAAGGTTGTGAGTCCATGGAGGGAAGCGTAACGCAGGGGAAGGAGGAGGAAGGAAAGGGGGAAGTTCAGGAATTCCCAGTATACCAGAAATAAACAAGGAAACAAAGCCTGGCCCCCAGCTCCTGGGTGGGCCTTCCCCCACTTTTAAGAGTTGTTATAAAAGGAACCTTCAAGTAATACGTAAGGCATGTAAACTTTTAATTTTTAAAAAATTTACAATAAAATACATTATCACACTCAATGCAGGGAAGTAACACATGAGCAACGACACCCAGGACCAGGCAGGTTCAGGATACATCTGCCCGCAGGTCTCCCGGGAAGGGCAGGGCCGCACCTTTCCTGCTGGGCTTAGGGCCACCCGGGCCAAGCACAGCTCACACAGGCCCAGCCGGGGGTGGTGGTTAGTGTGGTGCCTACGGCACATGACGTGGAGACACAAAGCTGGTGCTGCAGGCTTCCAGCTCACAGGCCTTCCCAGCTTCCACTGGCTGTCATAAGGCCGGCTCCAGGCCGCACACAGGAACATTGTCCTGGGACATCCAGAGCAGGGCCAGGCAGGGGTCACTACAAGAGAAGGCTGAAGGTCAGAGCTGGACTGCCAAGACCAGGGGTAGCGTTTCTAAGCTTGTTCTGGAAACGGCTCTCCTGGGAAGCCTCCCCACCCCCTGCGTCTGCCTAGAGAAGGGGGGTGCTGGATATGAGCCTCTCAGGGGACGAGGGGTCTCAGGGGACCTGTGCATCTTGGTCTCTGCTCCCTGGAGGGCCAGGCGCCTGGCTCTGAAACCAGGCCTTCCCCTTCTCCTGCATCAGCAGAGCCTTGGGGGCCACACTTGTCCCACTCCCACCCCTTCTATGGCCCTCAGCCGTTGCCTGAGGATGGGTTTCTGAATGAGATCCCTCTTGGGGGCCTAGTCCTGCAGTGAGCAGGCGCAGTCACCTGCCCATCCCGAGGTGTCCCCAGCATGTGGGCCCCTTAAATTCCCCCAACTGCAAGTCCCACACGCACCTGCTGCAGGGGGTGGGGGGACTCACGTTAGCGTTAGCGTCTTCCAGGCCGCTGCTGCTGTCATTCTCCACAAAAAGAGGCTCTGCTGGAGATGCCCTGGGGACAAGCACAGACTCCATTTCACTGGGGGCTGGGAATCAGACCCTCCTCAACTCTGCAGAGCTCCAGACACAACGGATGTCCAATGTTTGGGCACCCTCTGGCTGGTGGTGACCGTGCCTGTAGACCTTGGACTTGAGGGTCAGGCTGGGGGCCCCTCACCTGTCCCAGTGTCCATCCATGGAGCCTAAACTCTGCCCTGCTCTGTGCCCAGGAGCAGCCGTCTGACCACCTCCCCATGGGCTCTGCAGCTAGAGGCCTGCCCAGCCCCAGTGCCAACAGGGCACAGCAGCCCCAAGGGGAAGGCCTGAGGGCACCTGCCTTCCCCAGGAAGGGGAGTGTGGGAGGCGTGGGGCTGTTTCTACCCCCAGTCCCAGCCGGGGTTGCCCAGACCACACGGCTAAGGCCTCAGAGAACAGGATGTCTCCCAGTGTGCAGCCTGTGCCTGGGGCTTGTCATGCTCACATTTGGGTGACGACCAGTGTGTGCAGGACAGTGTGGGACCCCCGCCCCACCTGCTGGCAGAAGTTGTCCTGCCCTGACCTGCCTGAGCACCAGAAGCCTGAAGGGTGTCCAGCCCCTGCCTCGCTGAGTGGGGCTGGGCAGGGCCACCCTCCAGACCCGCCTGGAACGGCACAGCCCAGGTGCTCATGGTAGCCACAGGTTGGCCTTGGAGGTGTGGCCAGGCCTGGGTGGTCTCAGTACCTGATGTGGGGCCACTGAAGGAGGGAGGCTGGTCACTGGGATGACTGCAGTGGGTGAGGGGGATGACGCCACAACAGGAGGCGGGAGAGGCTCAGCCGCAGGTGCTGGGGTGGGACAGCAGGGTGTTGACAGGCCTGAGTTTGGGGGATTTGTGGGCTGTGGACCATGGAGAGGAGCCAGTGAGGCAGGGACAGGAGTCAGGGGAAAGGAAGTGTCCCCAGAGGGTGGTGCTGATGTGGTTGAGGGTAAGAGGAGGGGACAGAGCGTGGAGGGATGGGGCTATGAGGGGCCTAAAGCTTATATAATGTAATTGGGGCCTTTGTGAGTAAATTTCAAAATCAGACTCAGGACACATGGCCTCAGCAGAGTCCTCAGCCCCAGGTGGGCGTGCAGCAGCACACAGGACAGCGCTGGAAGGCTGTGGATCCCAGGGCCATGGTGACCATCTAACAGGACTGGCCACCACGGCACAGGCCATGACGGCCCTTCCCCGGCTCCCACAGGACACCTTGTTGGAGTGTGTGAGTAAAAAGGTCTCCATCTTGCTGTCGCGGGGCATGGCCCGCTTGGTGGTCATCGACTCGGTGGCAGCCCCATTCCGCTGTGAATTTGAGGGCCAGGCCTCAGCCCCCAGGGCCAGGCTTCTGCAGTTGCTGGGAGGCGAGCTACGCCGGCTGAGCAGCGCCTTCCGGAGTCCCGTGCTGTGTATCAACCAGGTGGGCCAGGGCCAGGCAGTGTCTGCCAGGGCACCCAGGATGCAGCGCGGGTGGGAGTGGGCGGGAGGCAGGCAGTGAGGTGGCCTCTGATTCCTCGGGCAGCAGCTTATGAAGTGTCAGTTGCCGCAGCTGACCCAGATTTGAATCATCCAGGTGACGGAGGCCGTGGAGGAGCGGGAGGTGGCACCTGGGCCGCCAGGGTGAGTGCGGGCGTCTCGGGTGCGCAGGTGCAGGAGGAGCACCTGGCAGAGGTGGGGGGGCAGCCGGGTGTTAGAGCCACAGCGGGCCTGTGTTCTGTGCCTCAGCTTCTGCAATGAGCGCGTCTCTCCAGCTCTTGGCATAACCTGGGCCAACCAGCTCTTGATGAGACTGATGGTCGACCGGCGCCGTGAGGAGGCCATGGCCGGCCACCCCACCCGGACCCTGCGCGTGCTCTTCGCCCCTCACCTGCCCCCCTCCTCCTGCTCCTACACGGTCAACGAGGAAGGGGTGCGAGGGATGCCTGGGACTGTCCCGCTGATGTGACAGCTGCAGAAAAGCCCGAGCATGTCCTAAAACTCCATCTACAGGGACCAAGCACAGCTTCTTAATTAGAGTTTCTTGAGGTCTCTGTGGCCATCAGCTGCACTTTCTCAACCAAAGGTAGTTTAGTGACCATGGACCTGACCCTCCCCACCAGAGACTGGGGACTGTGGGCTTGTCTCCTGCTGTTGCTGTTTGGGCACGCCCAGCTGGGTGGGCCTGGCGTTGCTGCCGTGCTGCTGGGCTGGTCCTCAGAGGACAGATGGGTCACCAGGGCCGGCTGTTTTGGGGGGTGGGGGGGTCCGCACAGTGACTCCCTAGGAGCAGCCCCCGCAACCCACGCCCTGCTTCCCTCCTAACGCCACGGGGCATCAGGGTCCACAGCCTCCCCTGGGCCCCAGGCCACAGATTCCCCCACCCCGGGACCCTGCCCAAAGGGGCCTCCCAGCAGGTTGGTCCTCAGCCCCCCCCCCTCAAAGTCCCACCCAGACACACTCCACCCCCTAAAGCCTTGGTTTGGTGCAGGGTGGAGGAAACACATCAGGCCATGGGGGTACAGAGACTTTGAGGGTAGGAGACAGGGCTAACTTGACTGTGTCATTGCTTCTGCCACCACCATGGCCTGACGAAGGGGCATAGAAGCTTTGGGGCTGCTTGTGAAAGTACATCAGTCTGTTAGGAGCACAGCTGAGGGCAAAGGGAAATTTTATTTTAAAGTGGAGGCAGCATCCCTGTGTGTCCTCGGGACCTACCCCACACCTGGCCTCAGTGGTTGTCAGCAATAGCAGCATAGCCCTAGACATGGCAGGACACCTGCACAGACTCACCACACACTGTGGCCCGGCCTTAATTCCAGATAGAAAGCAGTACCTCCTGGCAGCACAGGCTCCAGGACCTGACCATCTGATCATCGAGACACGCAGCCTCTGCATGGGCAAAGCTGTGACCACTCCAACCCCCGTCATACCCAGCCTGTGTGTCCACATGCCGCTTGGCGGAGCAGGGCTCAATAATAAATGTACTAAAATGGATGCACTGGTAGCGTTGGGACCACTTCTCTAATGAGCTGCTGTTTGCCAGGCGCTGCTCTAAGTAATATATGCATGTTCATTTACGTTTTTGTCACACCTCAGAGATGGTTACTGTTACTATTCCTGCTTTCAGGTAGGGAAACTGAGGTACAGAACAGTCAGGCAACTTGACTGTTCTCTCAGAGCCCTGAGCCAGACATTGTCCCCCCCACAGACGAGGAGCTGAGGCCCTGCCCCGTGTCAGCCTGGGGGTGGGGGTTGTTGGGGGGTAGGATCTGTAAAACCCTGTAATTGTGCAGACTTTTTCTGTTTTTGCATTTTTCTAGGGCAGGATAACCGATTTATAACTTTCATCGGATTTTCAAAGCAGTCTATGACCATAAAAGCATAAAGAACTGCTAGCATAAACTTAAGAAAGATACCTTGGGGTTGGACTTTTGCAAAACAGCCTTTCTGCAAAAGTGCAGGCACTTTACAACAGGAAATAAAATATTTTATTTTTGTGATTAAATATAAACAATTCCACATGATTTTCTAGACAAGTCAAACCAACAATTAGAAAATACAACTATAGCTCCAAGGTGGAGGCGCACATAACAGAAGACACACAGGCGGGACCACCCCCCGTGAGCTCAGCCCGCCTCACCCATCCCGAGGTGCCCCCCACCACAGAGCCCACGTGCCCAAGGAGGGGCCACCCTCCAGGCTGTCCCAGGACCACTGACCACTCCCTTAGGAGCCAGAGCAGGAGGAACCTCGAGTAGGTACACAGCCCATCCCCGGGGAGCCCCTGACCCTGCCTGGGGCCTCAGCCTCTCACTGAAGACCCTCCCGCAGGGACTAATTACGGAGCCCTCGCAGATCTGCAACCCCTAAAGGTTACTTCCTCACCGTTTTATAAAATACTTTAAAACACTTAAGGTCTTCCCCACAATGTTGGGGAACTAACTGTAAACAAAACACATGTCTCTGTGTCTGGGCCCTAAGACTGCTGGCCCAGTTCTCTGCACGGTGTTGTCCACCCCAGCAAGACCTGGGAGCTGGCTTAGCCCTGCCTTTGGTCAGTGCTATTAAGTGCCAGTCCCAGTTTTTGCAAATCTGATTACACAGTGCTCAAAATTAAGTGCAGATGTAGCAGATACTAGTTTCATATATGAAACGTGCCTTCCAGTGGAATTCCATGAAGTTATGACAATGGAAAATCTGCTCTATAAACTGTAAACATGTATCCTTAGCAATATTTAACACAGTGAATTTCTAACCACATCACACTCCTGGCGGCTTTCTGAGCAAACACATGGCGGGAACTCTCAGCTCCCAGGAGACAGCTGACCGACCCTGCAGTGCTGTAAACACCAGGGAATGAGCACCTCCCTGGGGCGTGTCCCGGACCTCCCTGGAGGCCTGGCTTCTGCCTCAGCTGCACCCATGACCCACAAGCTTTCCTGTGACATCCAGCCTCGGACATGGACTTTCCTGTGGAACAGTCACTGGAGATGGGCACTGCTGCTGCAGGGAGCGATGCCAGCTCTCAACTGCCTGTCCGCCACTGGTCAGGGCAACTAAATTTTAAGTTACGTTTGACAGAAACCAGGAAGAAACAAGCACTGGCTCTCACTTGGGGTCTCCCTTCTAGAAGGAAAGTGCTGAGAAGAGGGTGGCCAGCCAGGCCCACTGCTTCTCTCTTCAGAATGTTCAATTCAGACCACCCTGCTGGAAGCAGGTGACGGGCTGCTTGGTTTACATTCTTACGCAAGTTCACAGACCAGAAGCTGCCGATGCCCAGTGAGCTCTCCCTCTCAGAAACACGAAGTTTCCTACACGGCCTGGCTTCATGCAGGCCTCTCGTTCTCTTACCCCAACAACCACAACCTCAGCAGCACCAGGCCCGCGGGCTCGAAGCCAGGCCCAGTTCAACAGTGGCCACCGGCACAGCCCTGTCTGTCCCCATCAGTCTGGGAGCTGAAATTCAATCCCACATTCAGCCCCATGGTTATTCTTTCTTAAATGCCCTTTGTCTTTCCAAAGAGAACTGTCACTACGGGAAACCGTCCGGGTTTCAAACACACTGCCTCCACTTCCCAGAGGAGAGAAGAAACTCCAGCTGCAGTGGAGGGAGGGAGACTGGGCAGCTCCTCGGTCCCTCTCCACGTATGAGGTGCCAAACGGACACGGCAAGGTGCGAGTGGCCACGTCACATTGCCCAGAGCTCCTGCAATGTGATCTCTAAAGAACATGGCTCTACCCTTGTTTCTTGGGTGGATTTTTGTCGGGCGGTGGCTTCTCACAACTTACTGAATTTTTTCAAACACCCCTAGGTGGCATTTGGAAATAAGTTCCTGACCATCAGAAGCTGCAAATTTTAACTGGAGTCAGGAGGCTCAGAAAAGGAGTAGGGACAAGGTGACCGCTCAGGAGACGGAGACAGCTCCGTGGGGCAGCCGTGAGGCCAGGCACTCGCTGGTGACTATCTCAAAGGGGACAAATGCCTTTCCACAAACACAGCAGTCTGTGACGTGAGACAATATTCAACAGTATGAAACTTCTAAAGGTATTTTCAAGTCTAGCCTCACTGCGACAAGCCCTGGCCACTGCCATCTCATGCCCTCAGCCCAGGTCTCCGCTTGGCCTGGAACACCAGGCAGGGGCAGCCGTGGCCCCTTGGCCAGCGCCACTCACAAGCAAAAGCTGCAAGATAGCTGGAAGCAAATGAAAACAAGTGCCCTTGCTGTGACACCGCCTACATTGCCCAATTAAAATAAATTACAATCAAAACCTGACATTACACAAGAATGGTCAGTTTTCTACAGACTAATTAAAGCTAAGACTTCAGATCCCCTTTCAGGCCCAAAGGATGCACCTTGGTGCCCCACTTATGGTGTAGATGTGGTCCTTTCAGAGCTGCTGTGATCTGGGATCACCATGTACCTTGTCGTTTGTTTTGTATTCTCCTACCTACTGCTTAGTCTTACAGATTACCTTAAAAAATAATGCCTCAGGGTTGGTTTGAAAAAGTTCAACTTTAAAAAAAAAAAACCCCACACATCTCTATGTGCTTAGTGTACAGTGGCCACCAGGAGAGAGAAAACTCACTCAAAGGGGGTGGGCGTAGGACCCCAGAGGCACCCAGCAGAGCCGCAGGCCAAGCTCCCGTGCCCAGACTTCAGAAACAGACCCAGAGGAAGTGAAGCCCCTACCGGGAGGTTACTCACTTCTCCCCATTTCTCATCACCCACTTTCCTCTAAATTCAGGCTTTACCGCCACCGATCACTAAATGCTTATCACTAAAAGGATGTAGTTTAAGTTTCCAGAGTCTTAACTTACAGCCTTATTACAATACTAAAATTTAAAATGGATTTTGGTGTCACGGCAAAAAGATGGCAGGCAGAAAGTGCGACTGTCCATGAGCAGCGTGAGCATCCGAACATGCTGAAGCCGACGTGGGCACCACCTCTGCCCCCCTGGGCCACGCCGCCAGGTCTCACACGTGTTTCAGCCTCTCAGCGCCAGGACTGCAGACAGCTCAGCAGAATTCTGGGGCACGGCTGCTGGGTCTTTTTAAAAGGCACACCTCCAGAGGCAGGTGGACATCACTACCTAGGAAAGGAAGCCTGGCCACCACCAAGGGCTGTGACCTAGTGCCTCCCAGGCAGGACGGGGGAGAGGGTGTGGGGAGGGGGACTTGGAGGGTCTCAGTGCTCCATTAGTCTCAGGGGTTTTATCTAGCTCTGCCTGACCCTTAGTGGGCCAGGTCAGTGTGGCTGGCACTCAGAGCTCTTGAGTCTGCTAGACAATTATTTCGTTCCTGCATGAAAAAACAAATGGAAAAATTATACTTAACCAGTACTTCAAATGACACCAGCTTCAAGTGATCTTAGGCCTAAGAACAGTAGTGGCACAAGTCCACATCAGCACACACAGTCCCAATGCTTAAATACGCGTCTGTGAAGACCAGGAAGTTGATTAAAAGACTGTGTCAACTACAGACCTTGGTAAAACAAAAATACCTTCTTGTACCCACACCACTGAGAGTGCTTAAGGCAAACTACCCAGCACCCTGCAGGCATCATTCAATTCCACCTGGAGGCCTGGGGAGGTCAGCCTGTCTGCAAACCCCGTGACTGTCCCTGATCTTCCAGCCATCTTATTAGTTGGATTTGGGCAACTGGGAGAGCTGTTGGCTCCCTAGGTGTGGTGACCAGGAAGTGTGGTCACAGTCCATGAGCTCTAGGCACCGGCACAGGGCAGTACCTGCAAAGTCACCAGGGCTGCAGCTGCTGGGTCTGCTCGGAGCACCTGAGCCACAGGGCAGGTTCCAGAGCCACCAGGGCCTGGCCACACCCCACAGCCACATCAGAAATTTAAAAGAAACAAAAACCAAAAAGGCCTCTTCTGGTGGAAAGGGGATGCCAGAAGGTGAAACAAATAAAACACGACATGCCTTTGTGAGATCTGGACAGTGTGGCCAAGTGCTAACGACTAGTGTCAAAGTGACAATAGGTTAGTCATTGTGTTAGTAAAGTTCTGAATCATTTTAAAACACCTGAACAAGAGCTTAACTAGAAAATGAATAACATAAACTTATCAGAGGCTAAGACCATATAAATTAACCATACAAATTAATATTGGCCAAGCTTTGATATTACTTGATCAGAGTAAATTACTTAGGTCAAACTATATTTTTTTATTTTTTATTATTATTTTATTTTTTTAAAGATGACTGGTAAGGGGATCTTAACCCTTAACTTCGTGTTGTCAGCACCACGCTCTCCCAAGTGAGCCACGGGCCAGCCCTCAAACTATCTTTAAAGACCATTAACTAATATACTGAGAATGTTCAGAGTGTGAACACTTCCTAATTCACGTCATTGATAGTCATGCAGAATATTAGGTTATCGTGACTGCTGTCTCAGAACACAACACTGGACTGCCCAGTGGAGTGGCAGTGGTGGTAGGCACAGGTCTAAGCAGACCTGCCTGCTCAGTCCAGGCCGTCCGGGACGGGACTAGGGTGGGCTCCTTACTTGGCAATGGTCTTCAGCAGCCTGGCCGCCCACGTTAAGGACATTCAGAGAGCTGGCGCGCTTCATGCTGCAACCGGACACAGACATGCAAGGACAAACGGATCAGCACATCGGTCAACCAGCAACAGGAGACACAGCAAACTACCCCTCAAAGGCCTCTTACCACTGGGGGGGGCTCCTCGGGACCATCCCTAGGGGGAACGGGCCTTTGTCTCACTCGGACTGGGTCCCCCCAATCCTTACATGGAAGCCCCTAGTCTCATTGTATTTAGTGCCCAGCAGGAAAAAGGGCAGTTTCTCTGCATCTTTCACAGCAAATTGCTTGTTTTAAAGCACCATATGTAAACTCAAAAGTGTTGTTGGATTTCTACTTTTTAAAATGGGCTCATCTGGGAGCTGAGAGGCTGTGTGCGTCCTGCTGCCTTCAGACGGACGGGCCGCTGGGAGGGGCTCGGTGGCTCCGTGGGACTCCTCACCGTGAGGGACCACATTAAAGAGAGGCGCTCAGAGCTCACTGTTAAGATGAGATGCATAAACATATTTTGTATTTTATATATTTTTCTACATTAAAAGTAAAGAATGATTTTATCATTAGTAAAGCAAATTCTGAAGCCAGTATTTCTCTAATTAGAAATCAAAATTTAAAATAAATTTGATGGCTTTACATTTTAAAGAAATACAAAGATTTATACATATATTTACTTTTTTTTCCCCATTTGGTATCTTCAACATATTTGATGAAATATCCTACAAATTACCTGTAACCTAAAGTTAAACTGGATAGTTGCAACATTACTATAATTGCTTACCACAACCAGGGATGCCTTCAAACATAGTCACCTTGGCTTTTAAAGCTACAATAGCAGATACTAAATACTATGGGTTATTTCTGAGTGTTCACAGTAGGCTATGTAGTTTTGCATGTGAACGCTGTGCAACATAATACACACTAGTATTTACTGTGTGAGCATGGCAAGGTCTGAAGGGCTGGCACAACCCAGAGCAGAGTCGCAGGACACTCTGGGTGGGGACTGAGCCCAGGGCACCCGCCCATGCGTCACCAGCCCCAACAGTAGAGCACTGCACAAGCGGCAGACACTTAGCCAGTTCTCTCACACTGAATAAACTACAACAAAAGCAAAGACCTTAATTTACTTATCCTCAAGCAAAACTCACCCCCAAACTGTCCTAAGGAAGCCCACACAATTGTTGCTAGAGTCCTAAACAAGTCTCCTCTGCCTAGAACTACTCAAGAAAAAAGCCTAACATCAAACCAAATCACAAGTACATTATACTCTGACATATTCAGTTATTCTTACTATTATTTAATAGGCCAATTAGTTTTTTCTAAGAAAGCTACACAGCCTTCTCCCTCAGACTCCCTTCTTACAAGACAAAGGTAAGAACAATCGGACCCTCACAGTAAATTCTTCCTTTCAAACCATTTAGTGCCATCAGTTAGGAGTCAAGCCCAGCAGCGGGCTGCAAACACCCTGCTCCTTCCTGGTATGGCCAGTTCAGCCTTTCTCAAAAGTGGTCCCGGACCAGCAGCCCCAGCAATTCCTGGGAACTTGCTAGAAAGGCAAATTCTTGGGCCCACTTACCCAGAATTGAACACTTGGTGGTGGGGCCAACCAGTCTTGTGGGCACAAACCCTCCAGGAGATGTCTGAGAACCACTGGTAAAAACAGTTACTCCTCCTTGGAAAGATTATTCAGTTTTATGCACTTTATGGGATGAAATATCTGAAGTGATTTAGAAAACTTCAGTCTACACAGGTGCACACATCTGTTTCCACCTGGGTCCCGTCAAGCTGCAGCGCCATGGATATTTACCCCCGTTCTAAAGCTGGGGAGTGGCTTCACACTGCCACATTTGTTGCTGTTGCTGGCTGGTTCTGGGATCCAAACCCTTGACCTTGGTGTTAGCAGCACCACGCTCTAACCAGCTTAGCTGACCACTGACCTTGGTGTTGTAACACCTTGCTCTAACTACATTTTTTTAAAACACAGTAAAGGCAGAAAGAAAACATGAAAAAAACAGAAAAATTCTGAGCTCTCAAGTTGGAAGTATGATTCATATTATTTAGGACTCAGTGCCGGTATTACGTTCGAGGAGGACCACTTAAGCTAGCACCACCCAAAGATACTCACAACAGCAGTTCCTGCCCTACAGGACTTCCCCGTAAAATATGAAGACAAAGGAACTCATAACCGCAGAACTCCACGCCATCGGTCCCGTCGGAAACCCTACTTTACGTACTAAGGGAACCAATAATTGTAAACCTAAAAATCACTTAATTAACATAAGGCCTCAATAACGCCCACTGGATATTTCATTTAACTCCTCATTAACATAATCTCTGGCCAATCAGAACAACACAACTCACCGTAAGAGATATAAGCCCAACCCTGGGGGGGGGGGGGGGGGGGGG